CTTAAGCAAAAAAGAGGGTTTTATGTGTAGTTAATAGATTACACTAACATTCTACTTTGCCCATCGCCCGTTATAGATCAACTAACATGATCTATAAAGGTACAAAATGCATGTACTTACACATATTTGAGAATCAAAATATTTCATGATATAATTAACACGTTTGTGTTTTGACGCCCCTGCCTAAACCCCATATAGTGGACAAAAAACATGATAGACTCAAACCCTAAAAAGGGGTCACACGCTTTGGACGTGTAATTCTGAGAACTCTAAGGAAAAAGCATGTTCTTTTCAGATGTTTGGACACTTCAAACAGACGTTTGCATTGCCTGTTTGGTTTACCTATTTACGCAGTCATACACAAAAACGCACGTCTCAAACGCACGTTTTCCGTGACCCCAAAGCGCACGTTAAGAACGCGTTTTATGGCAAATCGCAGGCTTTTGACGGGTCAGTGTGCAATCAGACGCCCGACCTGGGGCCCGTTTTTCATACCTCGCTTAATATATCTGAGATGATTTGAAATATATGCCAGATCTTCTAATCGTGATAACTGATATCTGGCTAATTTGGTTCTTCAAACGAATTTGCGGATTTGATTAAAATATCTGGATTAAGCTGTCTACTGCGCGCTCTTGTGTTCCCTGTAAAGGCCAAAGTATACTTCGGCCGTCCGCGTCCGCGCACCGTCCGCATTACGTCATTTTCGTCATCAAGAGGGCTCGCGGACAGAAATAATTAGAATTTCCTTTAGGATTTCCAGTGTTGGATGCATTGATGACACGCATATTCCTATCATCGCGCCTTCCGAAAATGAAACTGATTACTGTATGGAATGGAAGGATGCCAGTAATTTGGTCATCTTTATTTCCTACAAATACAAAAGCAACACTTATTCTTTTCCCTGTTGGATTTTAATATTGGTATTGTGGCCATCTCCTCTTCATCTGTCAGTGGTGCTGGTGCAGGTTCTCCCCCCCATTTTAGGAGTCTCTGCCTTCTTGCTGTTGGCTGAGTAGAAGTCAAATGTTTATTTCATTACACTAATTAAGAAATGTATGTTGGATTAGAGAACATTTAGCCTAATTATGTGAAAAGAGCATTAGACTATGTGGAAAAAGCCGCTGTACATTGAAATAGACACTGAATGATATTTACTGAATATGTCAAATGTTTGTAAAGACATGTCTACACCCATGAACCTTTTACACTTTACCTGCTTTACCTGATTGAATTATGTTTTATGTTTATTTTTTTTCTGCTGCCACGTTTTGTTTTTTGTTTTTGCCCGTGGGATAGCCTACCATGAAAATGAAGATTAGTTTAATAACTTACCGTTCTGCCTGTTTTCACCTCTGATATTATAACAGTGATTAAGAATTAAAGTTATGTATTGCCTATATGCGGAAGTCTTTTTTTTTGGGTGCTGTTGCCATGGTGAATCATAATTTCGGAGCTCCATTGATAAAAGTATTACTTTCTATAATTTCTTCCCACCCCCGCCACCCCCCAATATATATGTATATATATATATATATATATACTCCAAGCTTTTGAATGGTACAGTGTATATTACAAAATATAATTTTTATAAACGAGCGCACCTTTTTTAAACAACAAAAGAATGTCTGTTTCGTGGTCTGTTGTGGAAGTACAGACGTTCCTCTCGTTGATTGCCGAGGAGCGAATCCAGCGAGAGCTTGATGGGACGACGCGGAATCAAAATGTTTTTCAGGAGGTCATGTCAGTAGAGGCGGCGCAACTATAACGACATGCAGTTTTGCCAACTAATTTTTAGGGGAAGTTGCTAAAGGAAGGTCAATTTGTTGCTAAAATTAGCTAAATGACGTGATGTCATTGCACGATGACAATTGTCACTACTTAAAATCTCAGAAAAAAATATTTTATATAGGCCCTATGTTAATTTAGATTGGTTTGTAAAATAATATAATGTAATATAATATTAAAATATAAATAACTGTATTTTTAAATACAACATTGAATTATTGAACACTTACACATTTTTGAACAATTAGGGCCTATAATTTAAGTTTGTTTTTATTAGCTAGTAAACTAGTATGTAAAGACATGTCTACACCCATGAACCTTTTACACTTTACCTGCTTTACCTGATTGAATTATGTTTTATGTTTATTTTTTTTCTGCTGCCACGTTTTGTTTTTTGTTTTTGCCCGTGGGATAGCCTACCATGAAAATGAAGATTAGTTTAATAACTTACCGTTCTGCCTGTTTTCACCTCTGATATTATAACAGTGATTAAGAATTAAAGTTATGTATTGCCTATATGCGGAAGTCTTTTTTTTTGGGTGCTGTTGCCATGGTGAATCATAATTTCGGAGCTCCATTGATCATGGTCTTTCATAGTCGCGGTGCACGTGCTAAACTCAGAGTCAACATACTCAGAGTGGATTGAACTAACACAATTCAGCTGTTCTGAAACCGAAAACGCAGTGTTTCCCATCTCAGGGTAAGTCAATTCAGAGTTCAGGTTTTAACTCAGAGTTTGTTGAACCTCCTTTCTGGAATACACCCC